CCTTTGTAAAACTATTGAAAGGCCGTGAGATTAGGATTACAGGAGGGGCCTGAATTATGCTAAAATGTAGTTGAGAAGTCATATGCCAGAGGTCACAAAATTTATGAACTTCCCAAATTGCTTCTATAGATAACATAATTATTGTAGAACCTAAGATTGGTCTTTTAAGATGTTTTTCAGACTTTTGCATTCTGACAACCAATTGACCCAACCTGGACCCATGACTCATGACTTAGCCACCGAGAAGCAGACTCAGTATGGGACAATTTTCCACAGCCCTCTTACTTCATCCTCAACCAATCAGCAGCACCCATTCCCTAGGTCTTCACCCACCAAATTATTCATTAAAACTCTAGCCTCTAGCCTCTAGCCAGTTGTGGTGGTGCACGCCTGTAATCCCAGCTACTTGGGAGGCTGAGGCAAGAAAGTCACTTGAACCCCGGAGGCAGAGGTTTCAGTGAGCCGAGATCGCGCCATTGCACTCCAGCCTGGGAGACAAGAGTGAAATTCAGTCTCCAAAAAAAAAAAATTAAAACTCTAGCCTCTGAGTTTTCAGGGAGACTGGTGTGAGTAATAACTCTAGTTCCTTTGTGTGGCTGGCCTTGCGTTAATTAAACTTTTACTTTACTGCAACACCACAGTCTCAGCAAATTGGTTTTGTCTATGCAGCAGGCAGGAAGAACCCATCAGGTGATCACATTATTAAGACCAAAAATAACAAATGCTGGCAAGGATGCTGAAAAAAAGAAACTCTGTATGCAGTTAGTGGGAATGTAAAGTTGTACAACCATGACGGAAAACAGTATACAGATTTCTCCAAAAACTAAAAACAGAACCACCACTCAATCCAGCAATCCCATTACTGAATATTTTACCCAAAGGAAAAGAAATTGGTGTACCAAAGAGATACCCGTACTTGCGTGTTTACTGCAGCACTATTCGCAATAGCCAAGAGATGAAATCAACCTAAGTATCCACCAGTGGATGAACAAATAAAGAAAATGTGGTGCATATACACAATGAAATACTATTGGTTCACGAAAAAGAATGAAATCATATCATTTGTGGCCGGGCTCGGTGGCTCACATCTAGAGTTCCAGCACTTTGGGAGGCTGAGGAAGGCAGATCACTTGAGGTCAGGAGTTCGAGACTAGCCTGGGCAACATTGTGAAACTCCCATGTCTACTAAAACTACAAAAATTAGCCAGGCGTGGTGGTGATCACCTGTAGTCCCAGCTGCTGAGTAGCTGGGAGAATCACTTGAACCTGGGAGGTGGAGGCTGCAGCGAGCAGCGATCACACCGATCACACCACTGCACTCCAGCCTGGGTGACAGAGTGAGACTTTGTCTCCAAAAAAAAAAAAAAAAAAAATAGACATCGTATCATTTGCAGTAACATGGATGGAACTGGATGTCATTAAGTAATATAAGCCAGGCAGCTAAGGCATAGAAAGACAGAAATTGCATGTTCTCACTCATATGTTGGAGCTAAAAAACTTGATCTCGTGGAGGAAGAGAGTAGAACGGTAGATACCAGGTGCTGGGAAGGGTATTCGCGTGGGAGAGGGTAGATGAAGAAAGACTGGTTAATGGGTACATACAGTTAGATAAAGGAAATAAGTTATAATGGTCAACAGCAGACAATGGTAACTATGGTTAACAACAATATATTGTATATTTCAAAGTACCTAGAAGACAGGACTGAAAGTGTTACCAACACACAGAAATAATAAATACTCTTCAGGGTCTACTTCCCAAAAAAGAAAAAATAAATACTCATCATGGGGTGATGGACACCCCAAATACCCTGACTTGATCATTACACATTCTATGTGTGTAACAAATACTCACATGTACCTCGTAAATATGTAAAATACTATAAAAGACAAAAATAATATACATATTGACTTCAAGATCCTATTTTGGGGCAGGGCAAGGTGGTTCACGCCTGTAATCCCAACACTTTGGAGGCCAAGACAGGAGGATTGTTTGAGCCCAGGAGTTTGAGACCAGACTGGGCAACTTCATCTCTCCAAAGAATTTAAAAATTAGCCAGGTGTGGTGGTGCCCACCTGTGGTCCCAGCTACTCAGGAGGCTGAGGTGAGAGGATCACTTGAGCCTGGGAGGTCAAGTCTGCAGTGAGCTATGATGGTACCACCGAATTCCAGCCTGGGCTTAACAGAGGGAGACCCTGTATGAAAAAAAAAAAAAAAATCCTATTTTGGGTCTTTCTTGCTGTTATTAACTTAAAAACCCAAAGTATAGCTTATTGACATTTCCCGTTTTACCTAAGCTCCTAAGGAGAGCCTCAGGTTGGAGCATATGCAAGTGAAGAATCTAGAACAAAACGCTTTTCTGTAACTTACCCAAGGAGAGGCTGTATTAACATTAGCGCTGGGTATTTCAGTTTAACCTGTCCATGGCAAACATTTCTTATGGTTTCTGCTGTTCCATTGGGTATCCTTCCTTCTTGTCTTTTGAGGTTAGATATGTTCCTCCTGAAGAAATTATTTGCCATTTCTTTCGGCTTTTAACGTTCTCTCTTTTTATTTTTGAGACAGGGTCTTGCTCTGTCACCCAGGCTGGAGTACACTGGCACAATCTCAACTCACGGGAACCTCCACCTCCTGTGTTCAAGTGATTCTCCTGCCTCAGCCTCCCGAGTAGCCGAGATTACAGGTGCACGACACCACATGCAGCTAATTTTTGGATTTTTAGCAGAGATGGGGTTTCACCATGTTTGCCCAGCTGGTCTGGAACTCCTGGCCTCAGGTGATCCACCTGCTTCAGCCTCCGGAAGTGCTGGGATTACAGGCATGGGCCACTGCCTGGCCTTTTACATTCTTTCTTGATGATCAGTTGAGTGGACTTGAACGTCAGATTACCTAATTTGACTTTAAGATATCAGATTGCTAAACCAGTTCTTCCAAAAGCAGAGAGTGCAGGCTGCCACCCTGGGTAGCCAGCCCTGGGACGGTGGGGAGCAGCACAGCTCCCCCTCGCCCACCCCAGCAGGTCTTCCAGGGTGGCTGGGGGCTGGCCTCACCACCAGGAAAGGGGTAAGTCTGCAGAGCTGTATCCTGGTCAAGACTCAGTTGGCTACAAAAGAGCTTCCCAACCAGCTCCCAGAACCCAAGAACGCGAGGCTCAGGTGCCTCCCAGGAGGAAAGAAACCCGGGCACTGGACTGGTTTACGAACAAAGGCAGCTGCCCCCTGGGTTTCTCTCTCCCTCCTTCTGAGAAGTCATCTCTGTTTCTCTCTACTGTGTCTGCTTCACTCTTCTTTCTCTGCAAACTGGATGCTTTCACTGCTGAAAGTATGCTAGAAAAAAAGGTAAAATTCCAGGCACAGATGATATCCTTCTAGGCAAGGACTTGCCGTTCCTGAATTCAGCTGTGTTCTCTGAAGCAAAAGAGTGTAGAGAGAGGAAGAGCTTTGTCAGCAGAACAAATGGCTTCTGCGGAGGTATGGAGGTGGGAGAGGCATGGGCAGGTTCAAGGGCTTCCACATTGGAATGAAGAAGGGAGAAGAAGACAGGTGCAGATCCTGGAGGCCAGGAGTTGGGATTTTACTCTGAATGTTAATGGGAGCGGGCGGAGGTATCTACTGAAGCATTCTGAGTGAGAAATTGACATGACCTGATTTGCATTGTAGGAGGATGATGGGAGAAATTCAGCAGCTTCTCAGGATTAGAGGCAACCAAGAGGTCCCCAGGGTTCTGAGCAGATACAAATGTCAGGAGCAAGCAGGCGCAGAAATAGTCACACATGCTGTGGTGTGCGCGAGTCTGGTGAAATCCTTGCTCTCTGGCCTTTTGAAGCAGAGATGGCTCACACAAAACACCCAACCCATGGCAAATATGACACTGTTCTGAGGACAGGATATCAGCAAGCCTTCTCTAACAAAAATCCTTCATTAAATGTGATGGGGTGGGGGGTGGGAATGGAGGGGACACACTACCGGATTTCTATACTAAGGAATTACTCTGAAGGTGTTGGGCTACTGAGTTAAACTGTGGACACATTTGTACAAGAGGGTAAGTGCTTGTGTAGCTTTCTAGCAGGCACTGTCTTTAATCACTTCATTTGCCAATTGAAAATGATCTTTGCACTCCAGCTTGGGAGACAGAATGAGACCCCATCTCTTAAAAAATGGGGTCAGCTGTGGCAGTTCATGCCAGTAATCCTAGCAATTTGGATTTCTTCAATTAATCAAATCATTTCTTCTATCAATCAATCAATTAAATAAAAAGAAAATGATCTCTGGGAGCTGAACCCAACCTCTCTCCCCCACTGCAAGCCCCATGGCAGTGATCTCTATACAAAAATATGACATATATAGATATATAAAAGAAAATGATCTTTAACATCTTTCTGCTGATCAGTGAATCCTCTAGTACAGATTTTTTAAATAAACATTTGGAATTTTATTTTAAAAAAATCACAACCACCATGAACAGTGTTACAGTTAGAGGCCTTCTTGGTTCACCATAATGACACTGAGCATGCTCCCAGGGGGTTCCCATCGTTAAGTCTTAACCATATTTAAAAGACGGGAAAAAAGCTCTGCACACTACCATTTAACTTGTTTTAACGTTTCTTCACCAATGGTGAAAAATACAAAGAATAATCATAATGTTGTGGCCAACATTATAAAGATGGAATTACAAATTTAAAACATTTCCTGGTTTAAAAAATAAATCTGGCAGTCAATGCAGCTCTCTGGGGTCTCTGCACCTAGTAGGGCCAATGTCTGTGCTCCTGACGGTGCTCGCCTTTTTCCATTTTTCCAGGTCCTTCACGTCCTCCTCTTCCTTCTCCCATCTGTTCCATCAAAGGTCCAGGGACCCCCTAGGGCCACCTCATCTTCCTCCACCAAAGCCACCTCGGTCCATGCCCTGGCCACCATGGAAGCCACCTCTGTCTCCACCATGGCCACCTCTGAACATTCCACTGGGACCACTATCATCCATGAGGCCACCCCTTCTTCCCCGCATGCTACCAGCGTGGCGGGAGGAAGCCTTCAGGCTTTGGGGCCTTACACTGGTTGCACTGTTTTCCAGGCAAACTTCCCTCCCAGCGTCCTCTGGGAGGGAAGCCTCCTCTGTCTCCTCCATGGTCCCCCAGGACCTCCTGGGCCTCCTGGAGCTCTGTGGAGTGGTGGTGGCATCCCTGTGCCCTCACTGGCTGGCATACCACCCCGCATGCTGTTCACTGGAGGCTTCTTCCGAGCAAGAGAGACTTTAAGTTTGCTCCCTTGAAAATCTTTCCCATCAAACCACTCCATGGCAGACTTGGCAGTAGGTGGGTCTTCATAGGACACTGTGGCATCGCCTCTGGAAACTTCCTATTTCCTTGTCCACGTAGATGTGGATCATGGGTTGCCCAGTTCTCTTGTTCATTTTAACAACCCCACACTGCTTAAAGAAGTCTGCCAGATCATCTAGAGTCACACTGTCATTTAATCCTTGTACATAAATTGCACTGTTATCAGAGTCTTCATCTGGATCTACAGGTGGGCCTAGATCAAGATCTGGTCCTTCGTCCACGGATCCACCAGGCTTATTGAAGCCACCTGGCTCTCCAGCACCCATTCCACCACGCCCTCCTCCCCACCCACCTCTGCTCATGCCTCCACGATCAAATGCCCCTCTTCCCCTGCCCCGGTTATCAGGGCCACTCATGCTCCAGTTCTCTCCCGGAACAGAAAATCCTCCAGACTCCTGCCCATAAACACCCATGCTACTGGGGTGGTCCATCGGAATGAACTCTGCTGCTGCTCTGTTGGCTATATTGACTTGGAGCCTGGTTGTAGGATTCAGTTTGGGGTGGGTAACTAGTGGGAGGCTGCTGCCCATAGCTGCTTTGTTGACCATAGCTTCTCTGCTGTCCATACCTGCTCAGTTGCCCATAGGTCTTCTGCTGAGAGTAACTGCTCTGATCATAACTAGTCGGCTGTGTAGAGAAATAGCTGGTAGGAGGGTAGGATGGAGATGCGGTGACTGGCTGCGTGGGGTAGCTCCCAGGTACCTGGGCATAAGTGTAGTTACTTTGTCCATATCCTAGGCTGGGCTGGTTGTAACCTCCTGTGCTAGACAGAGACTGACTAGTCTCAGTGGGCTTCTTACCATCCTGCGGTCTTGTAGGTGTAGTGGCTGCTGGCCGCTGCCCATAGGCTGGATAAGCAGGCTGATTGCCATATGCAGACTGAGCTGCGTAGGAGGCCTGGGTGTGGTGACTGTAGCAGTGGTGTTATCAAAAGCACTAGTGCCACACCCCTGGACAGGCTGGCTGTGCCTGGGAGTGGCTGGAGTAGCATAACCAGTGGGAGGCTGTCCATAAGAAGTTGCATAGGCGGTCTGCCCATAGGTTGCAGCGGTCTGAGCCTGGGAATAGCTGACATCAGTGGGCTGTCCATAGGTTCCATAGCTTTGTTGCTCATATACCTGGGTGGTCTGTGCGTATCCTTGAGTGGGCTGGGAGGTGTAAGCACTATAGCCCTGCTGTGATGCATCCTGGCTATAGGTACTGTAATCCATGGACGCCATTTTCTCTCCTTCCTCCTCGTTCTCTCAATGTCCATCTCCCTCTCACTTTCCCTCTCAATTTTTTTTTTTTGAGATGGAGTCTTCCTCTGTCTCCCAGGCTGGAGTGCAGTGGTGCAATCTGAGCTCACCATAACCTCTGCCTCCCAAGTAGCTGGGACTATACGTGCATGCAACCATGCCTGGCTAATTTTTGTATTTTTAGTAGAGACGAGATTTCACCATATTGGTCAGGCTAGCCTCGAACTCCTGACCTCAAGTGATCCACCTGCCTCAGCCTCCCAAAGTGCTGGCATTAGAGGCGTGAGCCACCGCGCCCAGCCCCTCTAGTACAGAAATTAAATGAGGTATCTGAAGTATCTTCTGTGGGTGGAGTTTTGATTAGGGACTGGGGTTTTTTTGGTTGTTGTTTTTTTCCAAATTTTTTTTTTTTTTTTTTGAGACAGAATCTCTGTCACCCAAGGCTGGAGTACAATAGTGCAATCTCAGCTCACTGCAGCCTCTGCCTCCGGAGTTCAAGCAATTCTCGTGCCTCAGCCTCATGAGTAGCTGGGACTACAGGTGCACGCCACCACAACTGGCTAATTTTTACATTTTGCATTTTTAGTAGAAATAAAGTTTTGTCATGTTGCTCAGGCTTGTCCTGAACTCCTGACCTCAAGTGATCTGCTTGCCTCAGCCTCCCAAAGCGCTGGGATTAGAGGTGTGAGCCACGGCACCTGCCCTGCACTCTTTTTTTTATTATTATTGTGGTAAATATACAAATGAAATTCACCATGTTAATCATTTTTAAGTGTACAATTCAGCTGTATTAAGTACATGAACATTATTGTGTAATCATCATCACTACCATCCATCTTCAGAACTTTTTCATTTTTCCAAACTAAACCTCTGTACCTATAAAACACAAACACCTCCTCCCAAACCCTGGTAAACACCAGTCTACTTCCTGTGTCTATGAATTTGACTATTCTATGTACCTCATATAAGTAGAATCATGTAATATTTGTACTCTTGTGTCTGGCTTATTTCACTTAGCATGCTTTCAAGCTTCATCTAGGTTGTAACCTGTATTAGAATTGTATTCTTTTTAAAGGCTGAAAAATATTATGATCAGAGTTTTTGAAATGTTAACCAACAGCTCCTGGAATGTAGATTGAAGTCAACTTGCACAAACATACACATGTCACACTGGACATCTGTGCTGGAATGTAAATTAGGACAATATAATAAAGGGGAGATTGTAAGGGGCTAATGATTACTGTCTGCAGCGATGACAATGGAGGGAGGGGACAAGTACCAAAAGCTCTCAAGAGCAGGATTAATCAGGTTTCATTACTGGATAAGGGAGATGTGGAATTTGGCATGACTTGAAGTTTTCTGGCTTGATGAACTAGCATGATATGAATTGCCGGAGAAAAATTAGGGGCCAGGCACGATGGCTCATGCATGTAACCCCAGCACTTTGGGAGGCCAAGGCAGACGAATCACGAGGTCAGTTAGAGACCAGCCTGGCCAACATGATGAAACCCATCTCTACTAAAAATACAAAAAATTAGCTAGGTGTGGTGGCAGGGGCCTGTAATCTCAGCTACTCAGGAGGCTGAGGCAGGAGAATCACTTGAACCATGGAGGCAGAGAGCCGAGATCGTACCACTGCACTCCAGCCCGGGTGGCAGTGTGAGACTCAATCTAAAAAAAAAAAAAAAGAGAGAGAGAGAGAGGGAGAAATTAGGTTTATAAGAAAAGGAGGCGAATGCATTTTGATGTTCTCTTGATGTGTGCTGAGGCAATTGGATAGTCTGTTCTGGATCACAGAAGAGAGACTGGGCTAAGGTACACTTTTGGGCATTCTTAGCACATAAGTGGCTAGAAGGGTCCAGATTTTGCCTCTGTGGCAAATAAAGACGATTTTGAACTGAAGGCATTTGAGAATAGATTTTTTTCCAAACTCATTTACCTGCCTAAAAGCAGAGGCTCTAAATTCCCTCCCTTAGAACAGAGAAGGGGTGTCGCACCACACCCAAAGAAAAATTGTTGCAAAATGAGCATATCTTACATCTAGTCTTCTAAGGGCTTTATCTTTATCTTTCCTAAGAGTCGTAGGTTTTTTTAATAAGTATCCTAACCCTCCTCCCTCCTTCTCTTAAGGAAATATGTAAGCTTCCAATTCTAATCACCTCCTTGAGTCACATTTTTCTGTGCACTCCCAAACATACGTGAATAAAAATCTGTCTTTTCTCTTGCAGATTTGTCTTTTGTCAGTTTAACTCACAGACCTCAATAATTTAAGAGGGTAGAAGAAAAGTTTTTCCTCCCAAACCCTGCTAAAGCTGTAAAAGGGGCAGAGTTCACTTAAGAAGGAGATAGACAGCCAGGCACCGGTGGCTCACGCCTGTAATCCCAGCACTTTGGGAGGCCAAAGCAGGTGGATCACTTGAGGCCAGGAGTTTGAGACCAGCCTGGACAACATGGCAAAACCCTGTCTCTGCTAAAAATACAAAAAAATTAGCTGGGCATGGTGGTGCATGCCTGTAATCACAGCTACTCAGGAGGCTGCAGCAGGAGAATCACTTGAGCCCAGGAGGTGAAGGTTGCAGTGAGCCGATATCACACCACTTTACTCCAACCTGGGTGACAAAGCAAGACTCCATCTCCAAAAAAAAAAGAAAAAGAAAAAGGAGATAGAGAATGAGAGAGAGGAGAGGGCCTTGGATGGGGCCTTGAGGAAGAACCACATTAACAAAAAATCAAAAATAAGTCTGCAAAACAGTACAAAGGGCGGTGGCTTAGAGACAAAACTGGGAAGAAGAGATTTCCCAAAGGAAGTGGTCAACAGCGTCAAATGCTGCAGAGTACGAACAAAGATAGAGGAGGAGACATGTTCTCCATAGGTGGCAGCCGGGGCAAACAGACAGCAGCCGGCTGAAGTGGCGGGCACAGACACCATATGGCAGAGAATGAGACAGAAGTGAAAACCTAGTTCTGTATAGACTGTTCTTTCAAGAATCTGGATTGTAAAAGCAAAGCAGTCTCTTCTGTCACTGAGCAAAGGCTTTCAGTTAATTTTTTTTTTTAATTTTTAGTTGTGGTAACAAAATGTATAACACAAAATGTATCATCTTAAACCATTTCAGCGAGAATAGGTCAGTTGCGTCAAGTACATTCACATTGTTGTGCAACCAACCTCTAGGACTTTTCTTTTTTGAATTAAAAATAAATAAATAAATGGAGTTTCACCATGTTGCACAGGCTGGTCTTGAACTCCTGAGCTCAGACAATCCACCCACCTCAGTCTCCCAAAGAGCTGAGATTACAGTTGCGAGCCACCGCGCCCAGCCCAGAACTTTTTCATCTTGCAAAATCGAAACTCTGCACCTATGAAACAACCCCTCATTTCTCTAAGTCCCTGGTGGCCATCAATCTGTTTCTAAGAATTTGACTACTCTAGACACTTTACGTAAGTGGAATCTGTGTGTGATATTTTCCTACTTTACTTAGCATAATGTCCTCAGAGTTGTAGCAGGTTTCAGGATTTTTCTTCCTTTCAAGGCTGAATAATAATCCATTGTCTGCATCTACCACATTTTGTCCATCCATCCATCCATCCGTGGACACTTGGGTTGCCTCCCCCTCTTGGCTATTGCGAATAATCCTTCTATGAACATGGTTATCCAGACCTTGCTTTCAATTCTTATGGATATATACCCAGAAGTGAAATTACTGCATCATATGACAATTCTATTTTTTTTTTTTTTTGCCATACTGTTTTCCATAGTGGATAAACCATTTTATTAGGTTGGTGCAGATGTCATTGCAGTTTTCTTGTTGAAATTTACACTTTGATATTAGAAAATGTTCTTAAATAAATGTGGTTATGTTATACATCATTTTAACATGCGTTTCTCATTTTATGTTTTTTTGCTACTGACTTATTACTTGCTCTTCATATAATATTTTATTTATTTATTTATTTATTTATTTTGAGACGGAGTTTCGCTCTTGTTACCCAGGCTGGAGTGCAATGGCGCGATCTCGGCTCACCGCAACCTCCGCCTCCTGGGTTCAGGCAATTCTCCTACCTCAGCCTCCCGAGTAGCTGGGATTACAGGCACGCGCCACCATGCCCAGCTAATTTTTTGTATTTTTAGTAGAGACGGGGTTTCACCTGGTTGACCAGGATGGTCTCGATCTCTTGACCTCGTGATCCACCCGCCTCGGCCTCCCAAAGTGCTGGGATTACAAGCGTGAGCCACCGCGCCCGGCCCTATTTATTTATTTTTTAAGATGGGGTTTCACCATGTTGGCAAGGCTGGTCTTGAACTCCTGACCTCAGGTGATCCACCCACCTTGGCCTCCCAAAGTGCTAGGATTACAGGCGTGAGCCACCGTGCCCGGCTAATATTTATTTTAGACTATGGAAATTATGTTAGACAATTGGCCAGGCATGATGGCTTATGCCTGTAATCCCAGCACTTTGGAAGGCTGAGGTGGTTGGATAACCTGAGGTCAGGCATTCAAGACCAGCCTGGCCAACATGGCGAACCCCGTCTCTAATAAAAATACAAAAATTAGCTGGGTGTGGTGGCACATGCCTATAGTAGCAGCTACTTGGGAGGCTGAGGCAGGAGAATCACTTGAACCTGGGAGGTGGAGGTTGCAGTGAGCCGAGATTGCACCACTGTACTCCAACTTGGGTGACAGAATAAACTCCATCTCAAAAAAAAAAAAAAAAAATGATGTTAGACAAGAAGCAAATTCGAGTTCAAAATAGGTTAAAGCAGCAGAGACAACTCGCATCATCAACAATGCATTTGGCCCAGGACCTGCTAAGAAACATACAGTGCAGTGTTGTCTCAAGAAGTTTTGCAAAGGAGATGAGACCCTTGAAGATCAGGAGGGTAGAGGCTGGCCACTGGAAGCTGACAACGACCAACTGAAAGCAATCCTGGAAGCTGATCCTCTTAAAACTACCCGAGAAGTTACCAAGGAACTCGCCGTCGACTATTCTATGGTCATTCAGCATTTGAAGCAAATTGGAAAGGTGAAAAAG